TTTTACATGTTTGTATTTTGTAACACTAAATGATACGCCTTAAAGGGGCATTATGTAACATTTTTGCACCAAAAGTGGAAGTATTTTGATTGAAAAAATCCTTGTATTATTGTATTTTACATCAACTTTTCAACATGTTAATGCAATCATCTTACACTGCTGACATTTATGGTTGGTGCTATGACAGCTCCACAAGACACACTCAGTTTGTGGTGCCACCACAAACTACCAGAGTGTAAACAAACATTGCTGAAAGTTCCAGCTTTTAAACACACTCTCAATCAGCATCATATTTTGGCACCTCCACTTTGAATTCCTGAATGACACTTATTTGCAATGGAGTAGGGTTGATCAACTTACTTGTCAAAGAAAAAACCAGAAAAATAGACTTTTTGTATCATCCTAATGTTACATAATGCAGCTTTAAGCAAGAAAAGACCACGAGTTGGCATTTCCAGAAATTGCATTACTTTTAGTCTAATCCCCACTTCAATCGAAGTCCCCTTTCTTCTATTTCAAATATTAAAAGATTTATTTTGAAATGTACATTTCAAACATTTCTTTACATGACAGTAAGTTATTGAGATTTTTCCTCACTTGCAGTTTGACAAATTTTTTTGTCAGTTTGTTACTATTCCAAACTTAACATTTCAAAAATTCACCTTCTGGTACATAATTGAATTTTTCCCATTTCTGCTTTTGCAAATATAAACGTTCATACATGTTAAATTGGTTATACATGTATAAGTATGCTCATTTCTCAATCTGGGAGCACATGTATGGTGGCAAATACTGGTTCTTGATATTTCAGTATCTAATTCTAATGATTTATTAAATTTATAAATATGAAATATGTAAAGATTGTATGCTGAATGGAGTTCGCTGTTGATCAGTCAGTTAAAATACTACCTACATTGTACACAGAGTATTGTGTTTTAGTATGTGCACTACATGTAAAAATGTTACCAGTGCTTCAAAGTGTATATGTGGTCTGCTAGCTGCATGCATTCTTTACTTAACCTTAGATTGTGATTATAAGGTTCTCCCAAGTGTTAAATTTTGACAGAGAAGGTCGAATTTGCTTGAGAGAAAAGGCGTTAATATCATGTATGTCAGCAAAGGAAGCATTGGGATATGATATGTACGATAGAATTCTTACTAAAGATGAGGGAAAAAAGGTATGTAAGTATCCTAACATTAATTTTTTTGTACTGGTATTTCATCTTGTAGTCTTATAAAGATCATTCCATTTGGCTATGTGGGTCTAAATGTAGCAGTAATTCTTCCATAGGCTAGGATTATGAATGTTGACTTGAATGATCTCGGCCATGTGGGTGATGGCGTATGTTCCCGTCAATAATCGTGTCTCTTGAACGGTTGCCAGGGTGATGTGGAGGAGGACGAACAGATTCCCGACAGAGAGGAGGACATCCGTCCCCGCTTCCACAAAGCCAAGACTCACACCACGTCCGAGGAGCAGGTCTGTGTATGGGCAGATTTACGTACCCGATTGCGTTTTGTATTTACAGCAAGCAAAAGCTCTGTCACAGCACAAACCTCCACAAAGACAGTAGTTCAAAGTCGAAAGACATTTTTATTTACAAATCCAAATCATGTCAACATATCAATTACAATTTCAGTCCCACAAGGTCTATGTGCCATGTTAACTCTACATGGTATGTATGGCAAATGTTGAACTGTACCCGTACCCTTCCAAACATTTTGTGTTTTTTTTTTTGACAGGATGGACAGGAGAGCTCAGACCTAGATGATGATGATGCATTGTCTGACTGGAACCTAAGTAAGTACCATATACAAATGTATTCCCATAGCCCAATATTATTACATAATCAGCCTGGACAGGAATCACATGTTTACTTAATTTTTTTTGTTTACTTTTGTAGAAGGAAAATATGTTGTCTTTGTTCTGCTTCTTCCTTTTCCAAACACATATGGTCAATGACCTGGTCTGTCACCATGGTAACTGGTGTTGTAGCAGACACCCTGTTGGGTTACATTATGTAGCAGGACAGAGTTGGAGGGGCTGGTCACCATATTCGAGTAGTTGAATGTGTTTAGTAGCAATGGACAGAGAAGTACATGTAGTAGTTGTTAGGCTAGACCATGTAATGTGAAGGTGAACATTGTATATTTGCTTTGCAAATGTTACCTTTCTAGCACACATATATATTGGTTGAATTGTGTGTTCTAGGAAAGTGTTCAGCGGCGGCGCTGGATGTGTTAGCTAACGTGTTCCGGGACGACCTGTTGCCAAACTTGTTACCCATCCTGAAGGAGACCCTGTTCCACCCTGACTGGGAGGCCAAGGAGTCCGGGATCCTGGTGCTGGGGGCCATCGCTGAAGGTCAGGAATTAATATGATTAAAGGCATCCAATAATGCAATTTCAGGGTGGCAAAACAAGAAATATTCTGGATGAGGAAATCTTTCTGATATTAATGAAATACTGCCATTTCTTAGCACATTTTTGTCATCATTTTATGAAATAGCCCCAAAAGTATCCATGCAAAGAGTCCAAAACCACCAAAACCATTTTTTGGTACCACTAATTTAAAAACAATAGCCAAAACCAGCCTATGATGAAAATAGAACCAGCCTATAATAAAAATCAAAACAACCATTTTCTGTTTGTGACACTGCATTTTTGCCTTACAGATTTTAGTGTGCTATGATTATGGATTGATTCAACTTACTACTTAAAAAAAAAGACCAGAAAATTGACTTCGAAAATTCAGTTTTACTGCCCCAAAATCGATTGGGGTGTCTTGAATGAATAAATGAACGAATGAATTAAGTAGTCACAACATTTCACAAAGTGTCTCACATATAGACTAGTTGATTAATGTAAAGGTTTCCATGTTCCAGGTTGCATGAACGGTATGGTCCAACACTTGCCTGACCTGGTGCCGTTCCTCATCAAGTCCCTGTCGGAGAAGAAGGCGCTTGTTCGCTCCATCACGTGCTGGACGCTGAGCCGCTACGCCCACTGGATCGTCCAGCAGCAACACGAGCTGTACCTGAAGCCACTCATGACTGAACTGTTGAAGAGAGTCCTGGATACCAATAAGAGAGTACAGGAGGCTGCGTGCAGGTCAGTATACGGTAGAGTGTTCGGCTCAGACCCAAGAGGTCCCGGGTTCGAATCCTGCCCGATGTCACCAATCTTGTGCACTTGGGAAAGGCACTTTACACGACTTTCCTGACTTCACTCAGGTGAAAATGAATACCTAGCTTCGGTTTGGGACGTCCCTCGGATAGGACGTTAAATAGAGGTCCCGTGTTTGGGGAGAGCCACACCCACAGCACTCATCGAAAAGAGTAGGGGACCTTCCCGGTGTGAGTGGGTCAAACCTTACTGTCTGGTCTCGGGTTTGACATCTTGAAGAGGTGTTAGTCACCTGTTATGTCAATCCTTCCACAAGTGTGGTAAATCTTCAGAAATAAATAAAAATAGATACAAAACTATCCTCCACCAGGCTTTCCTAAGGGGTACAGTTGTGCCTTGGAGTACTAGAATTCATTAAAACTAGGGTCAATAATTGCCCAGGGAAGTGAGCCATGGTAAGGGCCAGTATTTTCCCTTAATTGCTTTCGAACGTAGTGACATTACACAGACTAACTGTGCTAGCAAATAAGCTCTATAGTGGCCAGATTCACAAATATTGACTCACTCTATATCCAGCATAGCTAGGTTGGTAGAGTCTAACACAAAATACAAGCCATAGCAAAGCTGTATTTGCATGTACACTTGGTCTAAAGCATGTCATTTGCAAGGCACAGTACTCGTGATCATGCCTTTATATCATGAAAACATTTTCCCTGGCATATTTTAAACATGATCTGGACCCATTTTAAATTTGTTCTGCCCCTGTAGTGCATTTGCTACGTTGGAGGAAGAGGCGTGTACAGAACTGGTTCCGTACCTGGGGTACATATTGGAGACACTGGTGTATGCCTTCAATAAGTATCAGGTAGGTCCGTGCCCTGTGTTGAGGATATGTAGTCTATTCAATCTATACTTAACACATTTAATGTATAATGGTACGTTTTGATAATTGCAGTGTCCTGTATTTTCTTACTCTTGGAATTTTATTTCATGTTAAAAACCATTGCTTTTGTCACAATTAAATGTATTTTTCAATGTCAGTTGTCGACAACTTGCCTTGATTTTTAAGGTAACTTTGGTCTGTGTTTTTCAGCACAAAAACCTGCTCATTCTGTACGATGCCATCGGAACCTTGGCAGACTCTGTTGGAAACCACCTAAACAAAGCGGTAGGTCCTGGACTCAGTGACTAGTGTACACTTAACCTTCTATACAATAAATGCTCCAAAAAGATTGCGTTCTCATGCATTATTTGTTGTCCTGTTTCTTGTCTTGTTTATTGTTATACTGCATCAATTGTTTTTGTCTTTTGCTTCTACAATTATCTATTTTCTCTGACATTATCTGTCTTTTCTTACAGGAATACATCAATATGCTCATGCCACCACTAATTGCCAAATGGAACTCTTTAAGAGATGAAGACAAAGACCTTTTCCCTTTGCTGGAGGTGAGCTGTTACTAACTTTGTTACTATGATATAATGGTGGTCTGTTTCCCAAGGCAAATAACATACTGCAGTACCTGTATGGTTCACTAGATGTCATCTTTCACAAAGTCTTTGTCACATTATATTATAATACATGTATGTTGTTGGACATTGCAAATACAATACATGTTGGGATCAGTCACCCTATTTTTGCCTGGAGCTGCAAGGTTTCACGTTTTTTCATACCGTGGTTCAGTGTTTTTTTGGTCCTGTAGTTCAGTGTTTTTTTTGGTACGGTGGTTCAGTGTTTTTTCGTACTGTGGATGAGTGTTTTTTTTTATACTGTGGTTCAGTGTTTTTCATACCCTGGTTCAGTGTTTTTTCATTCCAACGTTAGGTGTCTGATACATTACCATATGAATAAAAACCAAGTAGCTTTTTTCATTTAATGCATTTCTTGCTTAAATATCAATCCTACTCTTCTACTTGTAGCTGCATGAAAAGTGAAGTTTTCCACTTCTTTGCTGACCTAAACCTCCTTACTCTCCCTTGTCCAGTGTCTGTCGTCGGTAGCCACAGCCCTACAGTCTGGTTTCCTGCCATACTCAGAGCCAGTCTACCAGCGCTGTGTCAACCTGGTACAGCAAAACCTCCAGCAAAGTATGGTGGGTATTCAACCCAGCCCAGATTCAAAGATGGTAAATGAACAACATACTGTTACTTCCTAAGATCAGAGAAAACAGCAACAACATAGCTTTAACGCAAAACATATTTTTGAGGTAGGAAGAGAAAGATCAGTTAACTGGTAGAAAATTGTGTTAAACTTCATGCCTTAGAACAAAATATGTAAGACTTAGATTTGACTTGATTTGAAAATGTATGTTTCGGGGTGTTCCTCATTGTAAGGGGAGAGTAAAATAAGTGAGGTACATGTAGAGGCAAAATTACTTACTACAAGGGCTATGATTTTGTACACTGACTGTTAAAAATATACACGACTTACGGTACATTCATGTTGGATAAAATATTTCTAATTTGTATAAGTTCTGACTAATACTTGCGGTATTAGTAGTTTTGGTTCCCGCTTTTAAAAAGATCACAATATATGTTGCCTGCTCCAGCCATATATTTATGGCCTTGTCTTGCAAAGTTTTTAGTTTGCACTATAAGTCGACAATTTTCTCATGAAGAAATCGAGTAGTAAACTCCAATCTGGATGAACAGAAAGCGTTGTCAGTCCTGGTACAGATGTGTCATTCTTGTCCCCAGGCTGCCTTGGCCCAGCCAGACCAGTTTGAACCGCCTGACAAGGACTTCATGATCGTGGCCCTGGACCTGCTGAGTGGGCTGGCAGAGGGGCTGAACGAACAGATAGAACCTCTGGTCAGCAGTAGCAACATCCTGACTCTACTGTTCCAGTGTATGCAGGTAGGTGCAAGCTTGGAGGTTACTGGTTAAAGGCATCCAAAGCAATTCTTAGGGCAGCAAAACAAACATATTCTGTCAGATGTTAACATTAACTGCCATTTCTTAGTACATTTTTATCATTTCATACTTGAAGTGTTTTAAAATAGCCCAAAGCAAACTGCTAGATGTATGTAAATATTCGGTAAGGTAGGAAGATTTAGGGGTGTTTTCTTTTGGTGAATTGTGCAGCATTGTACTATGAACTGGAAATAGCCTAACTGTCCACAGGTTTCCCGATGTCATTTTCCTAATGCAGGAAGATGATGTTCCCTTGACATACGTGTGCTTTTTCCTCTTGTCTTCTTGTAGGACAAAATGCCAGAAGTTCGACAGAGTTCCTTTGCCCTACTCGGGGACCTAACAAAAGCCTGCTTCCAGCATGTCAAGCCCTGTATTGGTAAGAAACTCAGAAGGTACAAATGCAGGGATGTCCTTTCCTACACTTGTCCATCCAGTCAATTTCAACTCCAATTATTTGCTGTTTTTTTTTGTATTTGGTTGAAACACGTGGTTGAAAATCTATCTGGAAATTCCCATACTACATACGTGGAAACACGTGGTAAAAATCTGTTTGGAAATTTCCATAGTACATAAGTTGCTGGTGGACAAACAGTTGCAGACATCCCTGTACCTGAGTGACCGCTATCTATCCCTCCACCTGACCTCTCTGCCCAGAGCTGCTTGTTGCATGTGCTGTGGTGGTCCGTGCCGCGGCTGCACCAGCTGCCTGCCAGGTGCGGACCGTGCATGTGCACATGACCGGCCTAGCAACCGGTTGGCTTGACCGAAGCAGCATGCCTGCCGTAGTCCTCGTTCTGTGCATCTGTGGTGACATCTTTTCAGGGTAGGACGGCTGAGATGAGTTGATGGACAGTCGCCCGATGCGGCGTGCGCCCGCCGCCCGTGTCAAGTCAACTCGCCTCAGCTGGCCTACCTGTGGTTTGGTCTGAGCTTGTTTGTGTCTTGTTGCAGCTGATTACATGCCCATCCTTGGAGCAAACCTGAATCCAGAGTTCGTCTTGCTTCCTTTTGCAGCCGATTTCATGCCCATCCTGGGAGCAAACCTTAACCCTGAGTTCATATCTGTGTGCAATAATGCCACCTGGGCTATCGGAGAGATCTCCATACAGATGGGTGAGTACACTTCTCTCATCTTTGTTTGTTTGTTTTGCACAACCGGTAAACTGCTTTAGACGTAACACGCCGGTTTTGTACATGTAAGTACAAGCTGCATAAGACCGGACTGCAAGGTTTGAACAACTCACACTGGGGAGGACCCCTACTCTTTTCCATAAGTGCAGTGGGTTCTTTCACATGCATGCAATGTGGCTCTCCCCAAACATGGGACCTTCATTTACTGTCCTATCCAAAGAACGTCCCTAACTGAAGCTAGGTGCCTTTCCCAAGGGCACAAGATCGGTGACATGGTAGGATTCGAACCCGCGACCTCTTGATCCTGAGCTGAGCACGATACGATTTATGCCACACGACCCCCCACTGTTACCTCAGAATCAAAAATTCCTCTCCTCGTAGATGTATACAGCAAGTTATTGTAGTAAATAACAAACCTACTTACACACTTAGTTCATCAAGACAAACTTCTGATGGGCAATTTAGAAAAAAAGAAAGTAACCTTGGGTCAATTCAATGGTCTAGTGATGCCAAATTATGATGTTATGAACAAGAACAAAACTGTACTATAGGATTTGTGTCATTGTTTATGGTATTATCCAATGACATGTACTTTCATTTCTGAGGTAAAAGCAGACATTCAGAGTAGGTATTCAACTCTGCAGTGGTGTGGTGTTCTTCTGTATGATTATTTTGTGACTCCAGATGAATATCATGTATCATGTTGTTCTACGATGATTCCAGTAGGTCATTTGAGGTGAAAAATTGTATAAAACAGGTTCGATGCTTCTTTGAATTTGTAGTTCACATGTGCTTTAAATATTTCCCTCCTCTGGTCCTAATATTGTTCTCTCTGTGTAGGTGCGGATATGCAACCATATGTTGCATTAGTATTGAACCAATTAGTTGATATAATCAACCGTCCAGGAACCCCCAAGACCTTGCTAGAAAACACAGGTAAGGTGGTACGCTTCTCTCTTTGTCATTTATCGGACTAAAACTGAAGAGTTAGTGTTTCAAAACTGCAATGAAACAGTGAAGTTGTGTGGTGTTTTTTAAGCCTGTACTTTGACAATGTATTTTATGCAATGGTCTTTTCAATCAGATATTTAGTTCCTTCAAATTATTGTGTTTCTATCAATGCTTACATAGACATGATAGAATTGTGTTCTTGTTACAGGGTTCTCCCCAGACGATGGAACAAGGGCGCTGCGCCCTGATACTCCTAGCTCAGCGCCCTCATACTCATTTTCAAATCTAGGGTGTTGCATCCCGATTTTTCTACAAAATTTCGCTAAAATTTCCTGATTTCGGGGCTTAGTGGCGTCTATTTTCCCGCCGGCATTGTCTCTGAAAACTTGTGAATGGGGCGATAATCGAGTAAACAATGAGTATTTCGCACGACGCTACTGAGAGAATCGCTGTCATTGGTGGAACATCGGGCGCCCCGCTAGCGTTTTGAAGTCGTGTAAAGAAAGCTAATTGTCTGATTTCTTTGTAAACCAAAGCCCTCGACCCTGATAATAAGTTTAAAAATAAAAGCCGATACGTTTACGAACTTATAAACCGTAGAAAATTCCCTACCGTACCGCGACATTATGAAGCATGTGGCGGCCGCAAAATTCGTTGACGCGACAGAAAATGTCTGGTTCATGATAGCGGTATTTCCCATGAAAATAACGTATACGATTTATTTTTCCCCTGCTGTCGGTTTTTAAGTCCCGAAACGTTAAAAAAAGACTGAATTTTGCCCACAAACCCGGACGGGGGACGGCCTGTACCTATCGGCGTAGCACATGGCGGCCGCACCGCAAGGCTTCTGCCAAAAATCGGCAACGCGACAAAAAAATGCATGTTCCATTTTAGCGATATTTACCATAAAAATAACGTATGTGGTTTATTTCTCCCATGGTATGAGTTTTAAGGTCTTCAAAACCTCTAAAAAAGCAGAAATTTGCCGACGAAAACGGACGGGCAAGGCATGGGGAGGCACTGTTGACGCCTGCATGACCCCCAAAAGGTCGAAGGTCATAGGGCACGTCCATTGCGCAATCACCTTAATTCGCCGATTTAGCTAATTTTAGGGCGTTTGAAAATTGATACAATCACATTATCGACTTGTAGACAAGCAAAGGGATAGAAACCAATAAAATGTTGTGCAGATTAATATTTTTTTCTTCAGATTTCTTTTTTTTCTTCTTTTTTTTTTTAAATTCAAAAGTATTTTCTTGAATGTGTAACTTTGTTAGTCCTAAACATGAGACCGATTATTTAATGTTAGAGAAGTGAAATTTTGTTTTGATGGTACTTTTGATGGTACTTTGATAATTATAAGGGACTTGTTTACAAGTTGGTGATAACATAAGGATTAGCATTAGGATAAGGTTTTGTCCCAGCTTCTCTACATTTTCCCATAATTGCTTGCCTCAAGTGCCAAGTGGAAAGTGTATGACTTAATGTCATATTCTGTTTCAATTGTCGAACTTGAAGGCACCGTTGGCCCCCGGTTAGGGGTCAGAGCGTGGAACCTATGCCCAATTTTTTCCTGTATGTTAACATTTTTTTCTGGCAGTTCAAAACCTGAAGTTGCAGGAAATGGCTTCCATTTGTATTTAGATAAAGAAAAATGCTTCAGCTTCCCCCCTCTGGAGGGGGGGGCCATGTCTCTCAAATCCTGGGGAGAACCCTACTATAGTGAAGACTGTTCTAGTAGTAGTGTATACAAGTGCTGCACTGCTTGGTGCAGAACTACAAATAAAGGAGATGTATCCTCTTGTGACTTCTATAAGATGCTGTTACCTGTCTTGTTATAATGTTACACATTTACCGGCAAATAAATGCATAATGACAACCACATACAAAT